CTTCTAAATAAAGCAAAAGAGGCATTAGATAAAGTAACATCTGAATGCAGCATTTTAGGGCTAAAAAATATCTGCACAGAAGTCTAAGGCAATGAGACCAGGTGGCAACACTCCAAAAAAGCACCTATGCATTCAAGACATTAACCTTCAGTGGGTTACACAATATCAATATCTCGGAGTGTGGATAGATTCTAAAATGACATCCAACAAGCAAATTCAATATCTGAAGGAGAAAGCAAAATCACAACTAAATATAATGAGAGCAATCACAGGCCCCGTCTAGGAGCGGGACACAAAGTGTTAAGAATGTTTTACATACACGCCGTTCGTTCCCTAGTTGATTATGCAGCGCCTGTCTTACTCACTCTTTTTCCTGGTCAGTGGGCAAACGTTGAGGTTCTTCAAAATGATGCAATGCGAATCATAACAGGAGCTCCCAGATGGACTAAAATACTGAACCTAAGAACAGAAACCAAGCTAACATCGATTGAAATAAGTGTAAAAAGAATTGTTGCGTGCATGCTGACCAAGATATTTACTAGACCTAGAATCAGTTCATGTAAAGATATAATCACTGGAGCACTAACTTGGGACATAAGTGCCTCCAATAGCAACAGGTGGACCCATTGTGCGATAAACACCTATATACATTGTGCGATATATACATTCGATATAACTAACACAGTCACTGAGAAGGGTGTCGACGAAATACATGCAGACCTTGTTATGCAAGCCCCTTGGGAATCTCTGCCAGCAGACTTTAAGTTTGGTTCTTTTTTCCTTCAAGAGCCATAGACTAATCCTGATCTGCTATGTAATACTGCACAGATGCATATAGAAGCAAACTTGGCATCGGACAGCTTCACATACTTCACAGATGGATCAGTAGACCAGCAGGGACAAGAAACTGGAGCTGCAGTTAAAGCAGGAAACTGCAGCTACGACATGATCAAAAGAGTTGAAACCAGAAGTTCTACTGAACATACTTGGATCCTGCAGCCTCTCTGAGAGACAAACCAGAGTTTTACACAACTTCCCCATGCACTCGAGCTATGTCAATAGGTGGTTCTATCTCTTTGCCCTTACTTCATTACACACAAAAATCACAATAGCGTGATGTGTCAAACGAGAAATCTCATGGTGCATCAAATCACAAACAAGGGTTTGTGTCTCGGAGAGGCTGCAGGATCCAAGTAAGTTCAGTAGAACTTCTGGTTTCAACTCTCTTGACCATGTCGTAGCTTAGTCGATTAAGGCAGCGTCTGGGATGCTCTCGGACGTAGGTTCGAATCCTCGTCACGGCCTTTGTGGATTTGTTCAATGCAAAAAGATGTACATTGACCATAACACAGCAGTTGCAACATCAAGATCTGCGGGTTGGTACAAGAATTCAACTAACTACGAACTACTTAGTTTGATGAAAGGGAGCAGTAGAACAACAGAAGTACACTTACATCGCATCAGGCTTGGATTCCCACGTGCATGGGAAATAGGCTTACAGGTTCCGGAAGATGAAAGGAAATGTCAGCACTCTGGAGAAATGCCCGTCAGATCACTGGAACATATCTAACACAGTGCAGAGTTACAAACCCATTAAGATTTCAACTTCGATTCAACAGAGCAGAAGTTGTTGTTAAACACGTGGGACAAAATCTTACTGAAGCGACCATACGAGTCATAAATACTCAACTCTGCCTAAGTAAAATAGAAACAAGCAACACTTAGTGGGTCAGCCAGAGGCTTAGGGCCCATGCAGGAATATTTCTGCAAAAAAAGTTAAAACCCCTTTTTGATCGTCTTGAAGTGATAGTCTTTTTCCGTGTTTATTTCCCTCCCGATTTTTGTATCATCGACAAATTTGCAAATATTGCTGCTCAAATCAGAATCTGAATCATTTATATATATTATGAATAATAGATGTCCCAGGACAGCGCCTTGAGGCACTCCACTTACAACATTTTCCCACTCTGACTTAACCCCATTTATACTAACTCTGTTTCCTTTGGTATAGCCACGCCCTAATCCAACTTAATATAGCACCCCTAATACCATGAGCCTCTAACTTTTTAATCAGTCTTTCATGTGACACTGTATTAAAAACTTTGCTAAAGTCAAGGTACACAACATCACAAACCTTACCACTATCAACTGCCTCAACTATGCTAGAATAAAATTATATCAAATTTGTTAAACATGAACGGCCATTTGTAAAACCATGTTGTGAATCATTTATTAATTTATGTTTTCCAAGATGAAGACGAATGGTATTTGAAATTATAGATTCAACTAACTTTCCCACAACAGACGTTTAGCTAATTGGCCTATAGTTTGAAGCAAGTGATATATCTCCTTGAAAATTTATACCTCATTAGCAACCTTCCGCGACTCTGGCACTGTTCCTGACTGTAATGATTTATTAAATATGGTAGACAAGGGGGCCGCAAAGCTCCTCTTTTCATTCTTTAATCACCGTGGTAAACACTTAAATCAAGATGAAAATAGATAAAAATCTATGAAAATTCAATTTATCAATGCAATCGGAAACATTGAAATGGAATCAGAACATTTTTAGTGTAGCGTGTGTTGCTGTTCCGTGCAACAGATGGTGCTGTTTCTTAAAAAAAAAAAAATTTTTACTAGTCACATGTGTGGCATCTATACTTTTACCTACGAAATGAGTGGTATTGTAAACAACACACCTCAATTCCAATGCAATGTCACACAAAATAATTAAATAGAAATGAAAATAAATCGAAATCTATGAAAATTAAGTTTATCAATGCAATCAGAAACATTGAAATGGAATCGTAACATGTTTAGTATAGTGTGTGTGTTGCTATTATGTGCAACAGATGGTGCTGTTTTTCAAAAAAAGCATGTTTTTACCAGTCACAAGTGTGGCATCTATATAGTAGATATATAAAAACTGGCACGTATTCCAATGGAATGTTGTGTCAAAATTTCAAAGCAATCAGTGAAGAATTTTTGGAGATTACAGCATGTGTTGCCCTTACATCCAACAGACGGTGCTGTTTAAAAAAAAATAGTTTTTTCCTGTCACAGGTGAGGCATGTATATAGTAGGTATATAAAAACACGCGCCTATTCGAATGCAACATTGTGTCAAAATTTCAAAGAAATCGGTAAAGAGGTTTCGAAGATTTCCCTCACATGAAAAACACATTTTTTCTACAATAGCATGTTTTTACCTGTCACAGGTGTGACATCTATATAGTAGGTATATAAAAACAGGCACGTATTCGAATGGAACGTTGTGTCAAAATTTCAAAGCAATCGGTGAAAAACTTTCGGAGATTACAGTATGTGTTGATCTTACGTCCAACAGATGGCGCAGTTAAAAAAAAAAAATGTTTTTTCCTGTCACTGGTGAGGCATGTATATAGTAGATACATAAAAACACGCGCTTATTCGAATGCAACATTGTGTCAAAATTTCAAAGAAATCGGTAAAGAGGTTTCGAAGATTTCCCTCACTTGAAAAACACATGAAAAACACAGATTTTCAAAAAGCATGTTTCTTTTTTACTGTCCCAAACGTGACATCTATATAGTATGTATATAAAAACCCGCTCGGATGCGAATGGAACGTTGTGTGAAAATTTCAAAGCAATCGGTGAAGAACTTTCGGAGATTAGCGATTATGAACAAACGAACATTTACATTTTTATTTATATAGATTATTAATTCAATCATGTGGTTGGTGTCAGTAGGGGTCACGTTACTATCTTAAGTTTTTCAGGGCCCGCTCTTCCGTTTGATGGGCCGTAAAGAAGTTGCTGTATAATATTATAATAGTAGTGACCGGTGATGTACAGCTGTTGTGTGGTGTATCTCAAGTCGCATGGCGGCTGCCCTTCCTATTAATGATTTCCTCGACACATCCATTAGATTATCGATTATTGACCAGGACTTGACCAGGACTCTAGCCAGTTACTCGTCAACCTGCTTCCACCTGGAGCCGTGTGTGAGGTAGCGGTTGATATAGGCGTTGACAAATTCGTACAGCACGTTCTAGCAGCCTGCAGATCGTTCCCAACCAGAGTATAGCACTTTACATGCTTATTCTTTGAAACCAAATTATCGTATATTAAATATAATGTGCCACATAACTCGAACTGAATATCCACAAATACTTTAAATTTATACCAAATATATGTGTGAATTTTCGATTAATTTCTTTTAGTTTTACAATCAAAGATTATTCATTGTGAAATAAAGTTGAAAACAGGAGAATGAATCTCGGCCCTGCTTCGCGGATCTCAGGAGATCTCCCTTCCCTGGGAGTGGGAATAATGCCACACACAGTTCTGCCAGACGGAATGCAATGCTTGCAATTCAGTTTAATCGTTTAAATGAAAAGTTTATTTTAAAGAGAACACCAGAATTGCCCTCAAGCTATTTCCGTTGACACTCTCACATCCTTCTTTCTCGCTCTCTGATCCCTCATGCTGCCTCTGACACACACCCCACTCTGGCCCACCACCTCATTTTGTCTCACTCATCCTCCATACCTCAGTTTCCCCCCCCCCCTACCTCACAATGCTTCACTCACCTACTTCACAGTGCCTCACTCCCCCAACCTCACAGTGGGGGCCGGTGGCTGAGTGGACAGCGCTCTAGACTCGTGGACCTAGGGACTGGGGTTGGATCCCAGGTGCCCACGGAAAAACAAATGGGCAGAGTTTCCTTCACCATGATACACCTGTTACCTAGCAGTAAATAGGTACCTGGGAATTAGACAGCTGCTACGGGCTGCTTCCTGTGTGTGTGTGTGTGTGTGTGTGTGTGTGTGTGTGTGTGTGTGTGTGTGTGTGTGTGTGTGTGTGTGTGTGTGTGTGTGTGTGAAAAGAAAATTAGTTTGTTAGTAAGTAGTAACAGTTGACTGATTGACAGTTGAGAGGCGGGACGAAGGTGCTGAGCTCAACCCCCGCAAGCACAGCGAGGGTAATATACACCTGGGTGAACACAGTGCCTCACTCACCGACCACCGTCATGTTGGCAGCATGGTCGTCAGTCTCGAAGTAAGGCTTATCGCCCATCACCTCACAGCGGAAGGTGCCGGAGGTGCCTCTTGTCACTCCCTTCAGCCGGACGGACGCTCCCACGCTGCACTCTTCCTGGAGGAGACCCAACATGGTTATGACACGAGCTGATACATGGTCGTGTGTGTCCTCATGACCACACATGGTCACCACTGTGTTGCCTTCACAAGACCACACATGGTTACACTGCATGTTGCCATCTCAAGACCTCATGTTGTTACCACCAAGCAATTCGCAAAATGCACACGAGTATAAAAGATCACTACCACACATTTCCAATGTCATGTCAAGGTTGTGCTCGCTGGCGGACAAGAAAAATGCCTAAAATCAAGCCGTATAGCAGTTTTTCCCATTCCGTCTCATCTTCCCCCTGGCCTGCATTAGCTTCTCCGAGAACCATGAATATTCAGGGGTTAAAGTGAGAGACTTTGCTTCCATGAGGTACCAGAGGGGAAGCTTCAGTAGCCCATCAGATGCATACAACCTTACAGGAAGATATAACCACAATACAGTAGACATGTTGTAGAATGAATCTCCTTATACGATTATCTATTAACCTATTTTTATATGTAATAAATTAATTGCATATATAAATGAGGCAGCAACTGTGCGCTTAATTCTATAATATGAGGCATAACATAGAGGAATGCCACTTAACGATACTAACGAAGATTAAAATGAAAATCAAAGTATATAAATGAATAAATCTGTTCAGGAAAATATCTCTGAATCATTGGGTGGTCTGCTAATTAACTGACTAATTGTAAAATATAGTTCTTCCTAACCCAATCACTTTGACTGGACGGTAGAGCGACGGTCTCGCTTCATGCAGGTCGGCGTTCAATCCCCGAGCGTCCAAGTGGTTGGGCACCATTCCTTCCCTCCGTCCCATCCCAAATATCCTGACCCCTTCCAAGTACTATAAAGTCGTAATGGCTTGGCGCTTTTCTCTGACAATTAAAAACGCACTAATCAGAGATGCTGTGGATAACTGCAATAGATGCTACAGCAGTACGTGGGAGTATAGTGTTCACTACAACGTAACTGTCAGTCTTGCTGAATGGGCTGACGTTGCTTCTAATTACAAGGCAGAGACATTCTTGAAAAACATTTGTAGCGTATTATAACAATGATACTGTGTCAATTTTTCTGATGCTATTAGAGACTTGAAACAAATATTATGAGAGAATTTAGTTAGGTTGACACGTAGTAGAGAGAATTTATTTAACATTTTTTGAATGGGTATGAAGTATGGGACCTATAAAATGCAGACCTTATGAAGTATGGGACCTATAAAATGCAGACCTTGTTAAGCTTAATTACAAATTGAGAAAATGTTGAAGATGTATCTTGGGTGTCCATCCTTGCATTCACTGCAATATCCTACCTGGCCTCATGTCCACACCTACACTTGAAGAAATCATTCACAAACGAATGATGTCCTTGTGTCTGAATGAGATGATCTTTCTAAAAAATTTTACTTTTTTTCCTTCAGGCAGTCACTAGTTACAGGCAACTCCATCTTTTCTACAAATGTCCTATGAAATACAACTTGAAAATTGGTGTCATTTAATGGAATAACAGGTCTTCAGAACAGAATAAATCGATATGTCAGAACAGGTAGAGACCCACAGTTGGATATTTCAATCTATTGTGGAACTACTGTTAAAAAAATTGGTTTATGGACAGATTTTGAGTCATACTAAAGTCAGATCAGTGTTTCAGGAGCTCTAAATGTGGAGTGATTATAATCCGTGATGGCTGCCAAACATGTTATTTAAGAAAGATAGCTGAGCCCTGGAAACACAAACCGAAACTGTCTCTATTTTTCCATTTGTTACAACTTGAAATAACTTTATTACAAGTTGTAGCAGCTTTGTTACATCTTGGCTTAACGTGTTTATGACGTATTAGAACGTTGTTACAACTTGCTATATTGGTTGTTATAACTGGTTAGGTGGTGTTAAAACTTGTTCGAACGTTGTACCAACGTCGTAGTTTCGGTGTGTGATTGGCGGGAGGATGTGAAAGATGTACACAAGTTCATGTCATGGTTTGAGTATATTAGTCCTTGTCTTCTCATTATCCTAATTTTGTGCTATAAATTGTGCCAATATATTTTATCGCTATAATGGAAAAAGACACTTTGTTTCCCAATTATATATATAATATCACACACACTTGCAAGAACACGCAAGTTATATTTAAACAAATTAACTACTTCTTCTATGAAGCATCGAACCCTGGCCCACCAAGTGGCAGTCCAGCTTGCCAACCATCACTCCACCACCAGATCCTTAAAATGACGGTGCATCGGGTGGCTATTGCGCGACGTCCATCCCCAAGGACGCCAGGTAATGGTGAGAGATTAGACACGTTCTCTTCAATGCAATAATATTAATTAGAGAAAACTCGAGTCACAATGTATCACACACACTTGCAAGAACACGCAAGGACACACATGGTTGGCATACTGGACTGCCACTTGGTGGGCCAGGGTTTGATCCTTCAAAGGAGAAGTAGTCAATTTGTTTTTTATATAATATATATATATATATATATATATATATATATATATATATATATATATATATATGTCGTACCTAGTAGCCAGAACTCACTTCTCAGCCTACTATTCAAGGCCCGATTTGTCTAATAAGCCAAGTTTTCCTGAATTAATATATTTACTATAATTTTTTTCTTATGAAATGATAAAGCAACACTTTTCTCTATGTATGAGGTCAATTTTTTTTTATTGGAGTTAAAATTAACGTAGATATATGACCGAACCTAACCAACCCTACCTAACCTAACCTAACCTATATTTATAGGTAAGGTTAGGTTAGGTAGCCAAAAAAAGCTAGGTTAGGTTAGGTTAGGTAGGTTAGGTAGACGAAAAAACATTAATTCATGAAAACTTGGCTTATTAGGCAAATCGGGCCTTGAATAGTAGGCTGAGAAGTGCGTTCTGGCTATTAGGTACGACATATATATATATATATATATATATATATATATATATATATATATATATATATATATATATATATATATATATATATATAATGTGTGTGTGTGTGTGTCGTACCTAGTAGCCAGAATGCACTTCTCAGCCTACTATGCAAGGCCCGATTTGCCTAATAAGCCAAGTTTTCATGAATTATTTGTTTTTCGACTACCTAACCTGACCTAACCTAACTTTTTCTGCTACCTAACCTAACCTACAAAGATTGGTTAGGTTAGGTAGGGTAGGTTAGGTTCGGTCATATATCTACGTTAATTTTAACTCCCCCCAAAAAAATTGACCTCATACATAATGAAATGGGTAGCTTTATCATTTCATAAGAAAAAAATTAGAGAAAATATATTAATTCAGGAAAACTTGGCTTATTAGGCAAATCGGGCCTTGCATAGTAGGCCGAGTACGATGTTCTGGCTACTAGGTACAACATTATATATATATATATATATATATATATATATATATATATATATATATATATATATATATATATATTGTCGGAAAATCCGACACCATTTAATAATATCATACAGACAGATAATATTGCTGCTGTATTGTATAAACAAGTTACCCATAGAAAATGTAAATTGTAGTGGAATTTCCGTCTATAGAAAACGGGATATCATTACCACATACTATTATAAATTCACCACCTATTATGGTGGGAATTATTCTTAAATACATTAGTCTTTGGACTTTATCATCATAAAAACATCTCATATAAATTAACTTAATTATCAGAATTAAAATAGAGTAAATGTGACCCTTCTATCACTTACTGTCATCTGGACAATGTAGGCCAGTGGCGTCTGTTGCGAGGGAGTGGTCAGCCATTGTTTGTAATTAGACCAGAGTCGTGGAGCAAATTCAGCTCCTATAAATTCTCTTGGACGAAGTGTTATGGAAGATCAGAGTAGTGATCTGCTATCATCAACACGCTGTCATCAATCTCAAGAGAAGTGTCTTTCCGAAACCCGTTTATCTTTCATTTATGGCCATTAATGTCAGTAGATATAGGGTGACCCGGTTAGATCACAAATGATCGACCCAAACAAGGTAATTAAGCCCAGGTCTATATGGTTCCTTGTACAGTGTTTTCTCTGATATAGCTGGCATATATTAGGATTCTGGCTTCATAGCTAGCGCCCTTTTGACAGGTCAAGACGAGGAAGCATGCTTTGTGCATCAGTTTCCAGGGTGATGGAAGCTACCTCACACGAGGAAAATGTGGTGTCTACATCCTGGTTATACCTGGTGGACTAAGGCCTGCTGTACAAATAAGATAAAGAACTTCTTCAATGTATGTAGTCTAATACTGTAGTTTGATTGGCTGCATATATATAAATTCAATTAATATAAACCCCCCTAATGTGTAGAGGATCGATTTGTGAGATTATGAGATTATTGCAGAAATACAGTCCACTTAACATCATACAAATTGCTATCGAAGTATATAAATTAACGTAAATATAAATTCTATATAAATTCATATAAATTAAATAAATATAAATCTCACAGGTCGGTTCCCACATTATTTGGTCCTTCGAAACCGAATTATTTGGACCTTTGGAACCGGATTATTTGGTCCTATGAACCCACATTTGGTCATCTTAGTACCGGATGAACCAGTTAACCAGTGGATTCATTAAATATACTAGTGCAGTGTGATTTAAACAAAGCCAGCAGTCAAAGACGGCGGCGCTGCCTCGAGCGAGTTCACCAGCCCCGCTCAGTTCAGATCAGCCTCATCAGCGGTTTCAGGGACACCCACAGATATTTGGTGGCGTGTTATTCTGTGAGATGACAGCGCTAATATTGAAGCCAGCCAAATTAGTGGCGGTGTCGGGAGATTGTTCACGGATTTCGTGGTGTTAAATTTCGCGAGAGATTATCCACGAATTTTGTGGAGTTTATTTCGCGAGGTCACTAATAATATTTAATACTTCTAGATAATATTAGAAGTTTCATAGAGGCAATTAAGAGGCTATTATCAATAATTGTGTATATTATTTCTCCAAAATAGAGAATTATTTAATATATATTGCACTAGTGA